ATCCAGTGATCAGAGGTCAGCTCAGAAACTCCCATGTCAAATTACTGTGGAGCTCCGCTCAGCAGTGCTTACCAGCTCTGCCATCTCAGGACACTCAGCAAAAAAATGCAGTTATCAGGCCTAAAAAGAAATGCAAAGATGCACATATTTGCTGAGGTTTCAGAAATACTCTGTTTTTTACTTTTATATTTTATATACTTTTACACTTTTTTATTTTTTACTTTTATACATATATGTGTGTGTATATGTACATATCTGTGCATTGGCAGGGACCAGTCCACTGGATGTCAAGGAGCCTCTAATTGTCCTGGCTCCTTTGCCCAGAACCAGCAGCACAGTCTCCACTGCTGGAGGAGACTACAGCGTTCTGTCTGCCATTGCCATTTCACACAGTGTGTAAGATGCCCTGATCTGATTACAAGGGGCTCTACATTTTCCAAGCAAGTCCTGGATTTTCTGGAGGAGGTAGAATAATTTAGGTTGAGTAGAAAAATTCTCAAAGACAGTGGTGGTGACTCACCTCATTAATTGCATCTTGCCAATGGCCTCACACCTTGTGAACTTTTTTTTTTTAATTTATCTTTTCATGACTGGCCACTTATTTGTCATGTTGACTGGCAATGGCCTTCTGATAACAGTAGCTACTATTATGGGATCACTGAGGCTAAACAGAAAATGGAGAAAATAGCAAGAAATATAAACCCACTAGTCTTTCTATAATCCAGGTAGCTGGTCATTGTGAATCGTCTGAGCATAGAAATGAAACTACTCCGTTGGTATTAAGCAACTTGATCTACTTCAGCTTCAAAGAAGAGCCTAAAGTAAAAAGATGTATTTCGTTATAGGTGAGGAGGAAATAGATGATCACAGGCTGTTGACTATCCTTGAACAGAGCATACTGACTCAGAAGAAATGTAGCTGTATGGGGGGGGGGGGGGGGGGGGTGGGGAGGTGAAGAGAGGAGATGGGAGCCATTCCTCTACATGGATCCAGCAACACTTTCTACTATGAAAAGATGTCCAACTATTTATTTTCAGATCTCAAATGCCTTGTTAGCGTTTAGTGGAAACATGTCAGGGTAAAAGGTTTCCCTCGAGTGTCTTCTGAAAGAGCTTGTGAAATGTGGAATGTGAAAATGAGCCAGAAAATATCTTCTGGGAAAGGAAAGTTATGTGAGGACTGTCTGCAGGGCTTAACCTACAGGAGAGGTTAAGATGAAGTTTTCTGGAAAAATTACAGTAAAAGAATCTGTATCTTGGTCTGACAGAGGAGAGTCTTATAAAGGATTCTCTCAAGTATTCACTGTGTTTTATAAGAATAAATCTGAATTTTCTCATTTGAGGAAGGGCATAAGTAGCATTTCTAGGTGGGCAAAAGTAGGTTGGAGTGATTGAAACAGGGTAACCCTAAAAATTGTAGGTGTTGTGGGAGAATAGCAGTGAAGAGTTTTCATTATGATTGAATATTAATTAGTGACATGGCTATTAATGATGACAGTAATTAACAGAGGAAGGAAAGACTTGTCATTGTCCCGAGGATGAGTAATCAGTCTTGGCAGGTGATAAATAATGGTTCAGCAAACTCAGCAGAAAGATAATCTGTCTGCCTCAGGACAACTGGAGAACAGCTATAAAATCTTCCATTCTTTTGGCAACATTCAGAAATTACTTCATGTTTTTAACAGAGACAAATTAAAATCCCTGATCTTAAGTGCTGTTTATATTCCGGAGTGGCTGATCACAGGAGTTCTGGTTGAGTCGGTGCTTTCAGTTTACTTGGCCGTTTAAACCTTTCTTGTTCAATCTTAATAACAGAGGGAAGAAAGACTGGGAAACCAGCTTTCAGCATTACTTGAATTTTTCACTGTAGTTTGATGAAAATTGAATAGATTCCTCAAAAGAGGTGTAGAGCTGGGGACATGATAATTCTTTGTAAAAATGGAATGGGACTTAATCCTGTACTAAGTATTCCTGCAAAGGGACCGTGCAGAATGCACTTCACCTCCCTTGAGCAAATCAATGCTCAACTCTAGATGATTTTCAGATATCAGCTGTCATCCCTTAGCAATAAGATCCTGCAAGCCTATAATCTGAGACCAAAATCAGGTGAAACAGTGCAGTTTTTAGTTTGAGGGATGAACAAAAAAGCCAAGAAAGATTGTGGTTTATCTTGAACCAAGACAGCATTTTGTGAGATTTTGTTTTGTTTGTAACAATACAAAAGAACTTTAGTTTGAGTCTTATAGAATCATAGAATGGTTTGGGTCAGAAGGGACCTTAAAGTTCATCTAGTTCCAGCCCACCTGCCATGAGCAGGGACACTTTCCACTAGACCAGGTTGCTGAAAGCCTCATCCAGCCTGGCCTTGAACACTTCCAGGGAGGAGGCACACATCCACAACTTCATTGGGCAACCTGTTCCAGTGTCTGGCCACCCTCACAGTGAAGAACGTCTTCCTAATATCTAATCTAAACCTACCCTCTTTCAGCTTATTCTTGAAATAATTTGATAGCCCCAAATGTTTTGCTCTGTCTTTAGGATATTTTTGTTTTGTAAAAGGCAAAAGGGAACATCCATGTTTAAAAAATATTGTATTTTATTAACAAGTTTGTCAAAACAACAGTTACTGGCTCTGAACAGTTTCCCCATATGTTATTCAGCTAGCACTGTTTACTAGGTGTGTTCTCACCTAGCAGGTAGTTTTGGACCCCTCAGACATCTTTTTCTGAATAAATTTACTATTCACAAAAAAATTATGTGACTTTAGGATGTACCTGGCAAGCTGGTTTCAGTAGTGACAGGAAAGTGCTGGCACCATTACCAGAGGCATTGATTTGATGTTCTGCAAGGCATTGCCTGCAGTTCTGGTGACCCCAGTGCAAAGAAATGGAACTTAAATTTGAAAAGTTGCTGAATGGTAAAGTAGAGGGACAAACCATTTTAAGAGGACATTACAAGAGTTTGGTTCGTTTGGTGAAATGGAGGTAGGGAAGCAATGTGTCAACCTTCTGTAGAAAACACTTGGGAGGAACTATGAAGGAAGAAGGATAATTATTTCTGTTAAATGATAATACAGGTTGATATAAAATGCATGTAAACTTCATATTAATAAACTTAGGCTGGGAAGTTACAAGAAGCGTTCTATCTAGAAAAAAAAAAAAAAAGTGTTGTGGCATAACTTTCCAAATAGGATAGTAGCAGCTTAAATTGCTCTTAGGTGGAGTTGGAAGGTTTGGAGAGCGACTATAGGGCTGAGAATACAAGCTTGTGAGATTGGTCCGCTAGTGTCTGGTTCATTGATACCTACAAGGCAGATTGAGGCAATTCCGAGCTGCTGCTTCTTGGTCACACCTGTTTGCCCAGCATTTAAGTGAAACCAGATGCTTCCCTGATCTTCAGGAGCTCTCCTGATTGTCTGTGAGGGACAAGTAAGTTGTTTCACTTGCCTTGGGTGAAGGTCAGGTCCATATTCTTGCTTGTTGCTGAAGCCAGACTCTGAAGAGGTTACTGGTACTCCTTGCAGAGTTGTGGGTCAACTTGCATTGTCGGGGGGAGCAGGAGCTGCCATCCCCTTCTACATGGGGTAGAGTTTATAGTGGAAATTTCATCTGTATGGGAGAGTCACTCAATCCTGAAGATATTGCAGGGACCTCAGACACTAGCAGTGTCTGTTGTCGCTCTGTGGCACATAATACTTGTGACTCTTGACCATTGTATTTAAAGTTTGTTGAGGGATGCTCTGGGCCTGTGGAAAACAAAATGTTCTTCAGACCTTTTCTGGAACAGGCATCATCTGGGTTATGCTGTTTCTTGAAGTACTCTACCATGTCTGAACTCAGAAGTGCTCCATGCAAGTAAGATATTCCAGGATTTATTTAGTAAGCCTGAGCCCTATGGTTAATCCATTCCTTTTTGTATGCTATCTTCGGCTGATACATCAAGAAGTATAGCGCCAAGTATTACTGGGGCTATTAGCCCGCTGAATGTGAATGCAAATATTTCTCAACAAATTCATGCTATCCTGCATCCAGACATTGCATCATTAGGTTGTACTGCAAGGTGCCATAACTTGGCATGGACTTGCTAAATTACCTCCAAGTGCCTTTGCTGATTGTCTTTGACTTTGGACAAGTCATGTTAGCTGACTTGTACACACCATTATGTTCCATTTTAAGTTTAACTTTCTGAGTATGAGGTTTAACTAAATTTTGCTGCCCTGTCATGTTGTGTTTTGATAAAAGACCTTGGCTTCTACTGAGCAGCAACACGTTTTCCACTTCTGTGATTTCCACATGAGCAACAGAGTGGCTATATACATGCAGAGGATCAATCCTAGAGATTTTATGGCATTTGAAGGTAGCAACAAGCTTTGTACTATTTGATGGGCCCTGGAAACTTTATTAAACTACCTGATAGGGCTTAAAGACTCACTTCTCTGCTCCTGGCCACCATGCTGCTGGTGCACTCAGTAGCAGGTGACAGCTCAACAGTGGCTTGGTTACAGGCATGTTGAATTCCACTTTCCTCTCCAAGACTTTGCTTGTCTTTGACATAAGCGAGACTTTCCTCTGTCTTTTTTTGACTAATAACTCAGTTCTGTACTTTTAGATTATTGCCTCTGACATTACAGGGGCAAGGTGCCAGTAAATGTTCCCTTGTCTCCTTGGTAGCTAGTGCTTGCAGAAACGTAGTTCCCTGTATGGTAGGGTGAGAGAGAAGCAACTGGGAGAGAAAAAGTTACAGGGAACCATTAGAGTAGTATCTGACATAAAGTAGATCAAGTATCTTTATCACATGAGGACTTAGTACATGTCAATAACTATATAATTACGGTGTGGCACAAGAAGGAAAAACATTCTGAAACTTCAGTAGAGATAAAAAGGAAAATGGAATAAAATTCATGTCAGTTCTATTGTATCTATCTCAATGTGTATCTCTCTAGGGCTCTCAAAACCTGTGATCTCAGTGTTTAATGCTTTCTTTTTTTTTTCTTTTTTTTAGGTGTTGATATTGTACAGTGGCTTATGAAGAACCTCAGCATTGAGGATCCAGGTAAGGTTGCCATAGCTGGAGAGGAAGAGATACTCCATCTGTGTTGTGTATGCCATTAGGCAGTAGATACTGTTTTGCTGCAGTCTAAAATAGCAGCAGAAAAAGATTGATTTGAGCATTGAAGGAAGGAGGAGGGAAAGACATAAGAATCAACATCTTAGTTAAGTCTAATGCCTTAACACTGCTACACACAGAAGGCACTTTGTAGGATTCTTAACCTATCTGTGAAATTGTTGCTACATAAGAAAGTCTGATTGATTTTAAGGTTTTTCCCAGACTTAGAAAGTTGGCGGATGTGTGTGGTTAAACAGGCAACTGCTAATTTATCACAGCAGACAGATAAATGGATAATCAGCCATAAACAGTGATGACTGTGTGGCACAATTCAAATAGTTTACTCTTCAGAGAAACCAAAATTGTGGCACTGTTAAGAGCTACTGGGAAAAGAGGAAGAAAAGATCTGCAGGTCCAGAAGTTTCTTTTCTTTTTCTGGAAAGGGAAAAAATCCAGCATCTCACCTCTCAGTTTCTGCTGCCTGCTGTCACTGTGTAAAAGCAGAGATAGAGACAGTGTTGTCTCACCCAGGGCATCCATATACACACATCTCTTCTCATGAGTTCAGTCAAGTCCCAGATCTAAGTTTCAGCTATAGACAATAGCTTATTATCTGCCTGGTGGCACATGAGCAGCTAATGTGTATTTTGCAGTTCTTGAGCAAGTTGCTGCAGCTTTTGACAGCTGACACCAGTTGAAAATCTGTGCAGATGTACCTCTGTGGTGGTGAAGGTTGCCCTGGTAGTGGTTGGATACGCACTCCCCTTCACCTCAACAACATGTCCTCTAACAAGTGGTAATGCTACAGTGTCAGGATTTGTCTTTATGAATGAACATGCTACTAATGACCTGGTGTTGTAGATGTTTGTCAGATTTTGTAGAGGCAAGTGGGGTTCACTGATGGAGCAGGCTTCTTGTCAGCTGTCACCTGTGGTGGATAATGTGCTTTGCATTGAATTTCAGACTCTGGAGCTGAACTGGTGTGTGACATTTTGTAAACAAAAAACTATCAGGTTAAACATTTGAGCAGTGTTTCATCTGTATTGTAAGGCTGGTTTCTGCTTGCGATATTTTCACTGGGCTAACCCTTGGCTAGCAGCCAACACAGCCGTTCACCCACTTCCCCCTGATCCCCAGGGGATAGGGGAGAGGATTGGGGCAAAGGTAAAGAGACTCGTAGGTTGAGATAAGAACAATTTAATAATAGAAATAAAACTTAAAATAATACTAATATTAAAATAGTAGTGATAATGATAACAGTAACAAAATATGGAAATAAGTGATATCCAGTGCAACTGCTCAGCACCCACTGACCAAGCCCAGCCCGTTCCCAGATAACGATCCTGGAGGAGCGACAATCCCAAACCAAAACCACAATCCCAGGAGAACAAGAGCCCGAGCGAAAGCTAGAGAGAGCGAGAGAGGAAGAGACCCTCACTATATATAATATATATATATATATGGAGAGGGGAGTATATATATTCCCTCAATAAACTATATATAATACACTGGACATGATGTGATATGATATGGAATATCCCATTGGCATATCCAAATGCCAGTTTAGCTTATTAATTTAAATATTCCTCACCCCCTTAGATTTTGAGCTTGTAGACTAACAAAACACAAAGTCCTTCACTTCCAGTGACAAAAATGCAAACACTGGTACGTTCTCAGTGTCTCTCTCATAACAAATCCCAGGCTGAAAGCAAAACACAGCACTATTCTAGCTACTGAAAAGAAACACAGCTCTGTTCCAGCTAAAAAGCAGGACACTGTTCTCCTGCTTTGCACAGTCTGGTTGGAAGGCATAAGGATGCAGCATGGGTACTGAGACGTGTCCACCAGATCTTAATGTGATTTTTTGCCAGAGCCTCTGCTGAAAGTAGAGGAGTGTGCAGTGCACATCTTCCTGACACATCCCTGCTGTTTTCTCTCTTTCACAGGGGAAGCAATACACTTGGGAAGTCTTATTGCTGCACAGGGTTATGTCTTTCCAATCTCAGATCATGTCCTTACCCTGAAAGATGATGGGACGTTTTACCGTTTTCAGGTTGGTGAGCACTCTGCCTTCCTTGTGCCCCTTTCTGCTGTCCCTGCAGTAATACTGCTGAGATCGCTCGCTTTTTATCCCTGTGCACCGGTTAGGTCTATGAAGCCAGGGACTGAGGCTATCTTTGTAGAGGCCTTAGGAAGTTATGAAATCCCTTCAAAAAGATCTGCTTTAGACTCCCAAATCACTCTCTTCTGCTTTCTGACCCACAGTTTTTACATAAATTAATGTTTATGTCCTGTGATTACTTTGATATGTGATTTCAAGGCTGTGGTACTCGGATTTGAACTAAACCAGGAGAAAGGAAAGGCTTTCATGCTTTCCTGTGCAAAATGGAGCAGGGGAAACTTTGCAGTAGGACATTCAAGCTCTGGCACAGCAGAAAATGCAAATTTTTATCCTTTCTTGGTTACAGATTGGTGTGGGAGGGGGCAAGCTTCAGGCTTTGGCTCTTTTACAGAGGATGTGTAGCCTTGGCACTCACCTAAGCTGGGACATCTCTATCCCTCAGTGTCCCTGTGCCTCCAGATGTGTTCAATTTTTAAAGCATCCTGCTCTTGAGTTCCATGCCCTTTCCAAAATGTGCTGCTGTCAGCTTCCTAGATAACTGAATGCTTGTGCTGCAACAACTCCTTTTGAACAGATTGTATAACTTTAAAAGAAGTGGTCAGTTCAAACTTGGAGTCCTACTGCCTAATCTTGCTGGCTGAATTTGTGTTTTTCTGTTACATGATCCCAGCCAACTCCCTTACTTTCCTGTGACCTCTCTTCTGTTCACCCTCCCATTTCTTTACATTTTTTTCCTCTTTTACAGATTTTATTTGAAAAACCTGTTTTCCTCTTTGCATCTGATGTTGCCGTTGATCATGCTTACTGTCCTACTGCTCGTGTGGTATTGTGTTATCATATGAGATCAATGGCATGGTGAACAAAGAAGCCCAGGAGATCACAGACCTCCCCTTATCTCGCCCCACCTCCTGATTACCTGGCATCATTCAGAATAAGATTTTTCATGACCATTCCCTTGCTTATTTGAAAATCCTGCTCCTCCTGTCATGAAGACTTCACAGAAGCAGGTGTAATAGTGGTTGCCCATTTAGTTGTATTTTTCTCTGTTTTGAAAGAATGACACCATAAGAAGTTGTCCTGCGCAGCTCTCAGGAGCTAGATTTCAATATAATTTAATTTATTTTCATTATTTTAAGCCTGTGTAAACCACATAATCAAATTGTCTTGGCTGCTTATTAACTTTTCTTTCCCTTATCTTTCCTACAACTTTTCCTTATTCTTTGCCTGTTGTAATTTCCTGACACAGTTCTCCTTAGTCATTTTCTGCAAAAATAACCTGATAGAATAATTTTTCTTTTCCATTACTCTCTTCTTGCCACTTTCTACCTCAACATCAGATCCTCCATTAACAGTAGCTTATCATCTTGTGAAGTTCATAAGATATATATCAGTGAGGAACACTGAATACTGTATTGTTTGATCCCTCCATGTTTTCTCACTGTACTTTGGTGCAAGGAATACTGTGTAATCTCCTATGCCCATTTGTGGCATTATGTCAGTAATGTGATCTGATTGCAGGGACATTATTTTTCATCATGTTAAAACTGAAATACACCTGTAATATATTGTAATTAATTGTAGCAACCACAATATGCAGACCTGGATAGAAAGCAAAAGCAGAAAGTTTATCAGGACTTCTGCTTTCACAACAACTCTAACCAGCTGACCTCTGATGTCTTACATTTTAAAAAGTTAATTGTTTTCTAGGCTACCAGCCACACTGGTAGCTGCTCCAAAAAAGCAAGTGATGTGTAATATATAAAAGGCCATGAAGTTTCTCATACGCCATTTAAAAATAAATAATTAAAAAAAAAATCATAGTGCCTGTGAATTCCTGGGGAAAGAGGAGATTCTAAGGATAGAGGGTAAGATGAGCTGGCAACAGTATATAAAATGTCATCAGGATACTGGACATTATCCTCAAGAGATCCTTGTATTACAGCATCTTTATTTACCTGCCGTGAGGAATGTTAAAGTTTTTACCTTCCTGGAAAAGCTGCTTCACTTTTACCAAGATCTGTTTTTCGACTGGGCAGAGACTGGGCTATAGACTTTGTGATTCTTCTTTTTGTACTTTTTGTAATGTTTTTCTGCATCAGAATTGTTTTTAATTTTTTAAATTACAAAAATGTGTATGTTGTTTCTCAGGCACCATACTTTTGGCCTTCAAACTGCTGGGAACCAGAAAACACAGATTACGGTGAGATTATAATTATTTCATTGTAGAAAGTTAGTGAAGAAAATTTGTGATGGAAAAAATTGTCCTTAAAATAATTGCCGTTAGCCATCTACACCATTCATCAGCAGAGGTTCTTGTCAGACTACAGGATGAGAGGCAGATTTGTGCCCATCTCAAATACATTAAGTGAAATCCTGGAGTGTCTCATGGAACTGTAGCCATCAAGTTCAGTGGGGCCAAGGTTTTACCTACTGTTACCTTAATTCTCCATAGCTCTTGTTTGTTTTGGCAGGATTTATGGCAAGCAGAATACTGCTCCTTGGGAATCTTAAATAATACCAGGATTGCTTTTGTGGGAGAACATACGCTGATCTGTAGCGGAATCTGATATGTTGATCAATAAAAAGCTACCTCATCTCAGCACTCATCTGGCTGATCAGTAAACCAGTATATAACTGATGGCAAACCATAGTTAAAATTTCCTTGATATATGATATCAGACTTATTTTTCCATTTTTTCTAAGATTACCAGATGATAACTGATAAAAAAGAGAAGACTGCATGGTTTTTGAGCTAATAAACTGCAACATGGTGTGTTAAACATATGATTGCCCGCAGACAGTGATAATACATAAAGAAAATATGTCAGTGTTGTTATCTTTAGCTGTCTGCTTGCAATATTGCTGTCTCTTCCAGAACTACACTTCTTTCACAGTTAAATGGTAAAATCAATTGTTGCATCCTGGTGTAGCATTGGAAGAGGAAATGATTCCATGTGTGCAGTCATAAACCAGAAGCTTCTGGAAGTCCTTCTTTTGAAATACCTCATAATCTAAGATCAGTTTAGAACTCCTCTCTGAATAATCAGGTTTTGGGGTTTTTGGGGTTTTTTTTCTTTCCCAAGCAATATTACTCATCATTATGGATTCCGGAAATCATTTGCTGGGGCAGAGAAGTAGCCTGCAATGATGTTTGGCATGTGATAGTTCATTTGCAGTCCTCATCTGCAGGGAAGCTAGCACAGATTTATGTGTTTATCCCAGTGAGGAAACTGCTAAGGAGAAAACAAGATGCTGTTCATTATGTGCAAAATAATTTCCAGATTTCAGTATATATAAATGTCTGAACCGTGACAAATATGTATTCTGTAAATATCAGAATAACAATCTGGAGAGGGAAGTTCTGTTTTTTCCTATAGTAACTGATAAATAACTGGTTTTGCAGTCAGATTATTGTGCTGCAAGGGCATTAAGTGGAACAGTACACCTCAAAATAAAACCCTATATGAACTGGCCCACAGCTGGACAAGCTACAGTTGCATTAGCTCTGCGCCCTGTGGTGACATATTTTCATCTGACCCAGAAATCTGTAACATATGCTTATAATCAGTCTTTGCATATCAGAGGTCTGTACGGATGGAGTCTTCCTAGGAATTAATCCCAAACTAGCAGTAGACCCAAATAAAACTGAAATCTCAGCAGCACTTCATACTTTTTCTGTTTGCATGAATTCACTCACAGGACAGGAACTAACTTGCTAATGGCAGGTCACTGCCTAGCATGAAGAAATACTCCGTGATGACCAGTTCTCACTTTATTTGGTGTTGTGAATGGCTTACAGATGAAACTGCCCCTGAGATGTATAGGTATATGTGAACTGGTTGCCATGCATAATATTGGCTCATTTTATGAATGTTAGAATTACAGGAATAGCATACAGTAGAATTATATGTATAGCACTGTTTTTTTTAATATATTTTCAATAGAAGAATAGGTTTCCAATGAAAAACATCCATGAAGGTGTCAGAAAATTGTAGTTTTCAGAAAACCAAAACCCTATAGTTTCCAAAGAAAAGCTGAAATTTTCTGAAGATTTATTGCTTTTTCCTGTAGATTATGCTTTACCTTCTGCCCCGCTCCAGTTTGGTACCTGGCCCTGAAGCATGAGAGAGGGGCAAAACACAAGGAAGCTATAAAATTCACATCTAGATCCATCCCAAAATGAGAGCACTGAATCTCTTTTATGTTGTTCACAACTGTATAGCCAGGATGTGCTGGGGACTTTGTGTTTCAGCCTGTAATGGAAATGGAGTGAGCTAGCAGGTCAAGCTGAGGCTTTCCTAGAAGGCAGTCTGGGCTCATCGTAACCCTCAGAATCCCAAACCACATCAGTTTCTGCAGTGTGACATGTGAGAAGGCTATTCTTAACCATGTGAAATGTGTAGAGTAGGTGGATAGAGCATATGATTATGAAAAAATGTTCAGATCATGCTTTTAAGATCTGGCCCATATTTCTGTTTTCATTTCAATATCCTGATTTTTTTATTTTATTTTATTTTTTTTATTTAAAGGAGGGGAGAAAGAAGTGCAGGGCTGCTCACTTTGACAGACATATTCCCAAAGTGCTCAGGGAAACAAGTTGCTAATGTTAAATCTTTTACCAGCCCCAGAAGAAATTGTGCCTTTTTCACACATCTTGTTAGGTTCTGGCACCTACTTTCATCACTTTTAAATGAAATGTCCCAGATGTTTAAGGCCTCAGAGATAACTAGTGGGTAATGTCAGCTGGGTATTCAGCCCTCTCATTCCTTGGCTTATGTTGTTTTCTGATGAGAACGAATCATACACAGACCATTTTTTCCTTTTTTAAGAATTAGTACTAATAATCTGCCTCTAATTGTTTTCCATTCTGTTTCTGCCTTTAGCCATCTATCTTTGCAAACGGACCATGCAGAACAAAGCTAGACTGGAGCTGGCGGATTATGAAGCCGTAGGTACACTGCTGCTAGAGTTTAAAGCTGGGGGGTGTGGGGAGAGCTTTGCTTTCGAATTGAATGCTGCCATTTTATGCTTTGGGGTCAGCCTTTACTGGGTCTTTTTTCAGTTGACAGAATTCAGTGGAGGTTGATTTGGAGACAACATCAGGAATGTGATTGGGAAAGTCCCTGGCTTTGCAACATCTCAAATTAAAGCATCTGCTGCATAGCCAGCCCTCCAAGATTGGGGAAAGTACACAGACGTTTACATTGGTTTCCTCTTTCCAGTTAACACTTCCTGGTTTATATAGCAGATATTAACACACAGAAATGATGGCTTTCAGGTGCATTATTGTACAATTAAATTGCTGATGACCCACCTTATTATTGATCATAAAAGGAAAATTTTCAGATATTAGACTTGGACTGTTTCAAATGGTCCATATAAAAACTATTATCCAAGGTTATTCAGTGTGTGTTTTCTGTTATGAAATGATTATGCATAAAAATATTCCCAACCTTGGCTTCAGATCATGCAGGGTTTGCGTGGAGAGGAGGGGGAAGGTGGAGGCATGAGGGGCAAGGCTGGTGTGAGTTTCTTTGTATACCAGCAGTGTAACACTGACCAGCTGAGCTTTTCTTTCTATCATGTTGACTTTTTTTTGTTTGTTTATTAGCTCAAAAGTGTAACAGCTGAATTTCAAAGGTGGAGTTTTTCATTGGAGGGTTTGTTTACAGAGCTGGTTCTAGTGGACTTCTGTGTTCATCTTTGTTACAATGAAAACATTTATATTGCATATATTTTAGAGGTTTTTCCCAAGAATGGACTTTTTCCTTCTTCCTTACCATCTACATTTTGGGACTCTTGTGCACATGGATATACACAACATTTGGTCCTTTCAGGTTGAAAGGACGTTTCAGGTCCTTTTTGTGTGAAGAGCATGCAAAAATTGATGCATATCTAGTCCAGCCTGGAAATGCATCCAGAGTTTCCAAGAGTTCTAATCTTGAAGTACAGGCATAAAGGAAGGAATATAATAATCTGCATGCGTTTACACATCCTTTTGCTGAGTTTTCTCTTCTGTATATCACTGATTTCATTATTAAAACTATTAAAATTGCTCACAGCCAACCAATTAATGGTAAGTACTCTAAAGATCTATCATAAAGCAACAAAAGGCTGTTCAGCAGTGTGCACACTCCCACACACATATAGGGAGGCTATGGCTAAGTACTTTTGCACATCGTTGTCTACTGAGAGTAGCAATGCTCCAGTGATGGCAAATAATTAGATCTTGGCAGTCTCTCATTTTTCTTGTGAATATTGCATTGCACAATTAGAGATTACTTCTGCATTCAGTCTTTGCTCTCTTAATTAGAGGCAATCAGATAAGAATGGCACCGACTCTTCCTAGTCATTATGGGAGCTGAAGCAGATCCAGCAATGGAGATATAAGCTAAGTGCAAGGGAGAGAAACAGGCTTCCAGGAGTGGGAAGGAACCCTCTACATTTAGTACACATTTTTGGAGATGTAGCATAAGAATGCTTCTCAGTAGGCATCAGCATTGACCTGAAGTTTCCAAAGAGAATCTCTACAAAGCATCTCAGGGGACATCTTCTCATTTTTAGGTTCTGCTTGCAGCATTCATAGACAACCCCCTGCCCCCTATTCATACTGGTAGAGAAGGGGTCTTGACAATATAATAAAGCTTGCATAATTGCATTCAATTTTGTTTATAATAGGCCAACATAAGCACAATTCAGCTATTTCTTCAGTGGGTGATGTTTCATTTGCTTCAGCATATTTACTTCAGAGGGCACATATGAACATAATTTAAAATAAAATAAAATAATAAGAAACCCACAAGAATTGGTTTTGCAGATAATTACAAGTAGTTCTTCCTTGTAGCCACAGTTCAGGAAGTCATCACAGTTCAGCACAGCTGTAAATCATTTGCTTAACCGCTTTCCTCTGTGTATGTGGACTGAAACTCCTACATGGACTTGGTAACAGGGCCAAGCTGTATGCCTTGTGTTATACAGGAGTTTAAATTAAATAATACCAAGATTTCTTCTAGCATTGAAATGCATGTGCTTAAGCACTTTCTTGAAATAAAGGGGATAGGTATAAAAAGAACGGCAGTAGAACTAACAGTATTCATTTTCAATGAAAATTTGCAGCAGTTGAACCAGCTGTAGTGGAGAAGGGCATCAGGTTAATGGTCTTGTAGGTCTCCTTATCAGGGTGGGCATGGATATATGACTTCAGGGGGCCATTTGAGTCTGAAATTCTGTCCCTGTCCTGAGTTTGACCTTGAGCTGTGATGAAGTCACATCTACCTCCAAATATTAAAATCATTACACTATCTGTAATGGGGTCTGGACCAGAGCTTCAGATGTAGAGCAGAGCTGCAGCTGGACCCAGTCTTTGCAGTTAGGGATGCTCATTGTTCAGACAAACAAGCTATTTCCTTTTATGAATCATCCTGGCAATCCCCAGCCTTCAGTGCTGTGCAGCTGCATGACGGTCTTTGCAGTGACCAGGACTGAGCAGAGCAAGTGATGCTCAGGCTCTGCACTTTAGCAAAAGCCTGAAGAGAAGAGAGAAGTGTGGGGAGGAAGGGAAAGTGGGGATGAGAGGGAAATGTGCAGGTGGCAGCCATCTGCTATCAGGAATGAAAGTCATCAGCTTCACAAAGCTTCTCAGTGTTATCTTTTGGGAACAAGTCCATCATTATTTTCATAGTAAAGCTCAGGCTGTCTTTATCACACTCCATTACTTCTCCCTGACAGGACTCTCTTGGCTACAGCCTGAAAGGATGTGTTATAACCTTGCTTTGCCTGCAAGGTAGTTCACCTGAAACCAACACCGACTTCTGTGTCTTGAGTTTTCCAGCTTAAAAAAAAAAAAAAAAAAGGAATAAAATAAACACCCACCAAGCTAACTGTGCTCTTGAGCAGTTATAATTACAGGGAATAATTGTTCTTACTATTTTCATCTTTTGTCAGGAAAACTTAGCAAGACTTCAGAGAGCATTTGCAAGAAAGTGGGAATTCATCTTCATGCAAGCTGAGGCCCAAGTAAAGTGAGTAATCCTGGAGCACTGAATTGCATCAGCATTTAGAGCTGTGAAGTGAAGGGGATTCTGTACAGATAAAATTTCTCTGTCAAAGCCTTTACTGCAACAAAGCTCAGAAGGTGGTGGTGAATTTTAATCACCGACAAACTAGAAATGATAGAGAGCCAATTCTGGAGGTTTATGCTAGAATCTGAAAGATGGGTTTAATTTTCTGTACTTGGAAATGTTGGTCAGGAGCTCCTGAGCCTGGATTCACTATGGGAGCTTGGGCAATTCACTTGCCTTTTCTGCTTCTACTTTTGTGTAGTATTTTTGTTTTGTATAAATTGAAAGAACAGAACTTTTGTCATCTGTGTTACTCTATGCTTGTAAAGTATTTCTGAGTTTAAAAATACTGTCACTTCCAAGTGATTATAAAGGTGGTATTTATAGCAGACTGGATTTGGTTTTCACATTTATACTAATCTCCAGTTGACTCTGTTGTACTTCTGCTCTCTGCAGTCCGACTTGTGCTACTAAATTAGCGTGGAGAATTGGGTGCCACTTACATGAAACTTACTCTGATTTGGGTTTTTCATATCCTCTGCTCGTAATTGAAATTTACATTTTTCTCTTATCTTCCTTTGTGAAAACAGTTTGAAGCTTCTTAATGTATCCAGTATGTTTTCATTATTGCTGCAAAATGGGTATGGTCCAGGACTTGTAGGCTAGTGGCTGCAAACTAGTGCCTGAAACCCTCTATGTCCATTTTGTGCATATAGTTGTCACCTATAGAATGGAAAGGTTGGTGAAGATTGCACATGAGAACACCAGTACTGACACTCTGTACCACTATAAGGAATTTGCACTTTCAGCATTCAATGCTAAAAAGTTAAGGAACATCATTTTTTGAGGGTGTGGTTGAGTTATATGTCTCTATCTTTGATTAACTCTTTGAAATTTTGATTAATTCTTTGCTTAATAGCATTGTAATTCTATATTATTTAAGTACATTGTAATTACCCTTTAATTTACAAGGTAATTAAGGGATTTTTTTCTGACCAGAACACAAGTGTTCTGTTTAGAAGAGAAAATTATAAGTTAAGATAGCAATTGTACTTTCAGTTACTTAAAGGTTTATTGCCAAGATTAAAAAAAAAACAAAATCTAAGTCAAAACAAAGTTTTGCATTCTATCCACAGCATACAATTAAGAAAGAAATGTAAATATCAGATTCTTGACATGATCACTGTTGCTTATTAATCTTTTCTCCATTCAATTTTCTTTGACATATAAGCATGGACTGGCCACTATCAACTTTTTTTTTGCTGGCTAGTTTCAGCTGCTTGGTTCCCAGTTCATGTGATGGTTCAGTCTTCAAGTTTCGAACAAGGTAGGGCTGGAATTCATAGTGAAATTCACAGCTGTGAATTAACTTAAAAGGAAAACAAACCAAAATACCTGAAAACATTCCTCCTGCTTATCAAGTTCTGCTCTACCTTACGCATCTTCATTTGCACACAGGATTTCCATTGCTGTGCCTACTTCGCTGAAAAACTACAGCCACAGAGCATCTTCATAGTTTAAAATGCAGAATACGGAGTTATCAGTAAGTTTGGGGATAGGAACCAAGAACCTTGGTTTGGCACAAAGCATCCACAAAGACAATTTACAGAGCCTCTGAAGAATCCCTCCAGCTTGTGTGTGGTGTGAGGCTGATTGATAGAAGACTTCACTTTCCCATTTGGCTGAACATGAAGGGCCTGCTCAGATAAAGAAGTTTTGGGCTGGGTATCTATGTTTGCTCCCCAGCGCAGTACAGCAACTGCTGTCTGACAGCTGCTCTGTGCAGTGCTGGTTTCTTGTCTCAACCTTGCAGGGAGGATATTCAGAGAGTGATACCAAACTGTGGAGGACTTGGGCTTTTTGTGGGGTGGGATGTTCAGAAACTTCAGTTTCAGTCCCTTGTTTCCTAATCTGTTTTCTAGCACAGACTTGGCCAAGGATCACAACCCCTCCAAACAAAAAACTGGAGGAGAGAGAACCCAATGGTCAGAAATCCCAACTGATGTGATTTTTTTTCCTTGCTGCTTTGATTTTCCTGGGTGGCAGCAGTGCAGAAACCCAGCACAGGAATGCTGTTGGTGTTTCAGTCCTGCTCTGGAGACAAAGACAGTTCCTACTTCCCCATGCTGCTGGGAATACCTGAGATAGCTGTCCCTTCACAATCTGTGGTCATGCCATCAGTGCTGCTGGGGCACCGGGGTGCAACGGGGCCTCCCGGCGTGGACCTCTGTTCAGCACTGGCCAAGAGTTTCACCTGAAGTAAAGAGATCCCGGTGGGTCTCCTGACAAAGTCAAAGTCAAACACAAACTTCCCCAGTCTGCCAAATCAGGGTCTGGGAACAGAGTATCAGGGAAGGTTGTTTTCCTCTTCAGATGAAAAACAGATGCTAAAGTAAATTTTCCACCTTAGTAGGGAAATCTCTTTTGACACATAATGGAGTAAACCTCAGTGATATTTTGTTCATGGCACATGGTCATGCAAGTGGGAGTGTGACATTGCTGTACAAAAAAGTGGATTTCTGAATTTTTTTTATCACGGAGTTAAAAACACCAGCTAGGAACTCTACAAAGAAGAAAGCATTACTTGCATACTGACTCATATCTTTATGCTTTTCTTTTCAGAATCGACAGAAAAAAGGATAAAACAGAAAGAAAGATTTTGGACAGCCAGGAAAGAGCATTCTGGGATGTTCACAGGCCTGTGGTAATGCTCTTTTTGAATGACAAGACTTTCCAGGTTTTGACAGCAAAGTTTTAATACTGGAAAACACTGTGCCATGTGTTGCATAAAGACATTGCTTTTAAAGTCACCATGTGGATTTTTCTCGCAGTTCAAAACACACCAAATGTCTACAAGATTATTTTAGACATTCTAGGCTTGTGCATGCATGGAACTATTGATCTGTAAATATATGATAAATGTGAAGTTATGAAGATCATTTATTGTGCATAGGAAAGAAAAGTAGCTTACCCACTTTGCCTCAGACTTCCTAGAAAAAGCTCCCTTCTTAGCTGAGATATTTCATTTTAGTGCCAAAGTTATGAGTAAATGGATTTGATATAGCCAACTTTGGCTATATGTAGTCTCTTATTTAACAAGGATTATTTGTGGGACACAAACTTCAGGAAAGAGTTTTGGACAAGATTTAATTGTATATTTTAGAAAGGTAAGGTAGCATGTGGATTGTAAACAGAGGAGTAATATGATTGCCATCTCTTTTCAGCCGGGCTGTGTGAATACCACAGAAATGGATATTAGAAAGTGTCGTCGTATGAAAAACCCACAGAAGGTGAAAAAGGTCAGTTTGAGTTTCTGGGTTTTGTTTTTGGTTTGGGGGAGCGGGGGGATGGGGACAGGACAGACGGATGTTGTTTTAATGCAAATCACACTTGACACCTACAGTGTATCCAACTTACCTAATAGGAACAAAAAAAAAACCATTTTGCAGATAACACTTCTGTTTTGTTCTAATTGATGGAATTCCTGTTTTACCAGTAGAGTAGTACAGACTGGGTGATGGGTAGAGCTGAGAAGGGCATTAAGGAGCTCTGTGTCCCAGTTATCTGCTACCTCTGCACTCCCATAAAATTAAAAGCAGTTGTCAAAAGTACCTAGGTCCTGTTTTGAGAAATTATTTGGTCACACGTTTTGCAGAGCTGTTTGCCTGCCTTAGTCATTTCAAAGGCTGGATCATTAGCAACTTGAGTGTCTTTGACTTCCAGCAAGTTTTAGCCCTTCTGTATATATAAAATCATAGAATCATTTAGGTTGGAAAAGACCCTTGAGATCATCGTGTCCAACTGTAAACTTGACACTGCTAAGTCCACTACTAAGCCATATCCCTAAGCACCACGTACTTTAAATACCTCCAGGAATGGTGACTCGATCTTTTCCCTGTGCAACCCGTTCCAATGCTTGATAACCCTTTCAATGAAGAAATTTTTCCTAATATCCAATCTAAACCTCCCCTGGCACAACTTGAGGCCATTTTCTCTTGTCTATCACTTGTTACCTGTTTTGGAGGGGACACCAGACTCCTGATCTTCCATTGGTAGTTAAATAAAAAGCACAAACACAAAATGGAAGGGTAACTGATATTACCCTCAGTGCAGGTCTTTGTCCTGAAAATGAATGGCTACAAGTCAGTTTGCAGGTTTTTGTTTAGAGAGGTTCACATGAACTTGACCCATTGACACCTGGTTAAGCTCTTTCTTCATTGCGTAGTTTCACAAGAAGAATCACAGAATTATAGAATGTATTGGTTTGGAAGGGACCTTCAAAGGTCATCTAGTCCAACCCCCCTGCAGTGAGCAGGGACATCTTCACTAGAGCAGGTTGCTCAGAGCCCCATCAAGCCTGACCTTGAATATCTCCAGGGACGAGGCCTCCCCTACCTCTCTGGGCAACCTGTTCCAATGATCTACCACCCTCATATTGAAAAACTTTTTCCTAATATCCAACCTAAATCTACCCTTTTCTAGTTTAAAACCATTACCCCTCATCCTGTTGCTACATGCCCTTGTGAAAAATTCTTCCCCAGCTTTATTCTAGGCACCTTTCAGGTACTGGAAAACTGCTACAAGGTCCCCCCAGAGACTTCTCTTCTACAGGTTGACCCTGGCTGGATGCCAGATGCCCACCAAAGCCCACTCTATCACTCCCCCTCCTCAACGGGGCAGGGGGAGAAAAAATATAATGAAAGGCTCGTGGGTGGAGATAAGGATGGAGAGAGGTCACTCACCAGTTACTGGCACGGGCAAAACAGACTCGATTTGGGTGGAAAAAACAAATTTAATTTATTACCAATCAGACGAGGATAATGAGAAGTAAAACCAAATCTTAAAACACCTCCCTCCACCCCTCCCTTCTTCCTGGGCTTAACTTCTCTCCCAATTTCCTTCTCTTCCCCTCAGCAGCACAGGGGGACAGGGAATAG